AGTATATAGATTAACATATGTTAAACAGTTACTGAATTGATTTTTTAAAAAATCAGTTTTTTTTGTCATGACAAATTTACTTAACAATGGTTAATGCTATATATACTTGTACCTTCTTGGTTCCATCATATGAAAAACAGTTTACTTACCAATTTACGATACAAGATATGTAAGAAAGTGTCGGAAATAGTGGCACAGTAAAATTATTGCTTCTCAAGCTATGCAAATAGCTGACTATAGATAACATAAAAAAAATACTACAAACACGTCTGGCTGTTAATTATAAATAATTTTAGTGAGAAACAATTAAAGGAAAAAAAGAGGAATAAAAGTAAAGTAAAAAGACTTATAATGCTAAAACGTGAAGCAAATTTTTTGCATACAATATTTTTAGTTCATGTGTATAAAAATTTACATTTTCAGAGCTCATTTCCAAACCAATTCTAAATGAAAGACCTTTGGTTACTCCATGTTAAGCATTTAAAGTAGAATTATCATTAGCAGCGTATATAATAATGATGAAAAATCTCACCATTAAATTAATTTCAGAGATAAGTTTATGTTTAAAGTCAATACAAACATCTAATTTACATAGCCTCCGACGTTAGAAACCTCACTCTGCATGATGCATATTTGCTGGTGATTAAAAATATTAAGACTGGCATTGTTTCTTAAGAAATGTTACATTTCAGTTAAGGGTTGTATATCTATGAACTATTAGTAATTTTTGTGTTTGAGTAAAATCTGTTACTCTTAAGAAGTAACAACCCATTGTCTTACTCCCCCCTCAAATATGGATAGAAATATATATATATATGTATTTACCTTTCTTATGAGATCTTTAGCTCCCTCAGAAACATGGTTGGGAAAGTGAAGATCTACCTTAATAATCCGCCTGTATGTATCGTTTACATTTTCCATTTCAAAAGGTGGTTTTCCCACAAGAAACTCATAGCATAAGATGCCCAAACTCCAGAGGTCAACTTTCTCGTTATACGTCTTGTTCTCGATCATTTCTGGGGGTAAGTAATCAAGAGTACCACACATTGTAGCTCGTCTGCAGTTCCATGCACAGAGAAGAAAAAAACAAAATAAACTATTAATGTCACTTCTAAATAAGTGCAGAAAATATATTTAATTGTAAAAATAGTTAAGTAAAACTAATTCCTTTCACAACACTACACTAACTTGTTGACATGCTTAGTAAATATAAAAATAAAATAATTAGTACCTGGAAAAGATGTCATGCTAACACAGTCAGATAACAAGGTATATTCTGTATGAAAAAAGTACTTTGAATTATAGCCTTCCAGATTCAAACAAAGCATCAGAATTCACAAGTTCTAATGATACATTGTCATAACAAAATGACTAAATACACTAGTCAATTTGTGTGTGTAAACAATATTTTTACATGTTTCACACGCTTAAATGTATTTTTTGCCAAAATGTCTCAAAGAACACGCTCTTCTTCAATCAAATTAAATGCAATATATTATTATTTACATTTGTTTTATTTCAGCTATCCTCAACTAGCAATTTACTATTCTGTGCGTGTCAATCTTCCGACATCTTCATTAAAAAAGTTCTATTAATAGAAGATCCTGAATTAGCACTTTTAGCATCATCATTATAAAGTTCTATTTCTAGAAATTCCTGAATTAACACTTTAATCACTGCAATTTTTTTAATTTAAAAAAGCGAAGATAGCAAATTTACAAGTTAAAACCTAATTTCATGGAAAAATTTGACTAAAAAATTAACTGTAAGTAAAACTCCTAACAAGGGTTACTCTCATACATAACAAAAATAACATTTCAATTTGTGTTTCAGTTACATGAAACAATGATACTAAACATACACATACTTATATGTAAACTTAGTGCAAATCATTAAATAAATGAATTTATTGAACATATAAAGGACTACTGAACAGATCAAATACTACACTAAATGAAAAGCCCTTGTATATCACCTAATCAGTTCAGAACACTATTAATTAAAGTTGTTCACGACCAAACTGCTGGTAGTCAATACAGTATTATGTCTGATTTTTTCTAGCTTTGCCTCTTCATTCACACATTAATATCACTTTTAATACTCATAACGTTACGAAAACACACAGGTTAAAAAAATCAATTTAACACAAAGATACAAAATCCTATAAACCAAGCTCTTTCTTAAGATAGACCTTTCTTCTTCAGGAGCATTCCCAGTTTGCCCCCGAAGAAAGGCCCATCTTAAGAAAGTGCTTGGTTTATAGGATTTTGTATCTTTGTGTTGACTTTTAATAGCCAAATAGTAAACATAACATGTAAATGTGCCCACCTAGATGAAGGGGCATGAACAGACCATCCAAAGTCAGCTATTTTGAGTTCGCCATTCAGTCCTAGCAGCAAGTTTTCAGGCTTGATATCCCTGTGGATGACTTTTTTCTCATGACAGTAAAGGAGAGCATGACAGAGCTGTGCTATGTACTAAGACAATAATAATAATGCAACAAAGGAAAGAGGTTGAAAATTTAAAAGCCAAATATATTTACACTGCATAAACAATAGATAGTTCAGATACTAATTATAATAAATATTAGACATTCTAAAAACATGTTAACTGCATACATTTTAGAATATCGCGAAAATGAGATACATTTTATTTCCAAATATATCTTTATTTGAACATAATTATAATATTCAAACACTTTTTGAAAAATAAATATATATATATATAAGCATCAAAAGGGTCATTTAAACAAACCTTGAATTATACAGGAGTAAATTCAACTTTGGTTTAGAGCATTTTTTTCCAAAGGTGATAACTAACTGTTACATCTATTTACACGGAAGTTGTTAAAAATATTTGATTTTTGATGTTTTTGTACGTATTGGGCTACTTGCAACTAATACACCTTCTGTTTACTGTATCTGTTAAAACATATTTTCTGTTCCTTTCAAGTTATGTAAAAATCCTGAAAAAGGATATTGATCAAAAAATATCCTCAGCTGAGATTCATAAGCCTTCTCCTCGCACAAGATCTTAAGCTTTGAGGACTGATGCAAAATATGATGTATATTTAAAAAATGTTTAAACCATTCAATTATGAATTTTAAAACATAAATAGCACATAATTAACTAAGATATAAAAGTAAGACCTAAATACAATTTAATTTTCACTCTATCTAGAACATATTTAGCTAAGAAAAAAACTAAGTGTTATCACGGATAAAGCAGCCTATTACAACTGAGCACCAATTTCAAAATAACAGTTGTTGAATTATAGTTTAAAATGAGCTCTTTCTAATGACTATATCCATGTGTATATAGCAACTACATGTAAGTTATAAAGCTAAAGTATATGTATAGAACCCATCAGGGTTTGACAACATTTATTATTTGTTTCTACTGCATTCAGCCAAAGAACTTTGACACTTGCATATCAACAGGGCAAGTAAATGTACTTAATTGTCTCAGCTTACATCTAAAGGAAAGGCATTATCTCAGTCAAGATAGCAAGTGCAAAAGTTGAGATTTTTCACAGCTTGTATGTCACGTGACAATACAAAACTGAAGTTTAAGTATTTTTTAAAGGTTTCTTTTAAAAAAGGAATTAAAACTTAGATAACATACAACTTCAAATTATAAAATACATTATAATGTTAATTTCATTCACATACATCGATAATAAAGTTGTTTAAATAAATTTTGAATGTAACTCAGTGACTTGCGCAGAAAAGTGTTTAAAGTGGTTAAAGGGTTGATAATCTAAATACAGTTTACTTGCATGTACGTCAACTACATCTGAAATTATTACTTACAGTAGCAGCTCGCTTGTCATCAAATTTTCCACATTTCTGAAGTTCTTTAAACAGCTCACCTCTAGCAGCAAACTCCAAAATCAGAAAAATTCTTGTATCGTCATAGAAATAATTGTACAGTTGAAGAATGTTAGGATGCCTACATTCACGTGGTTAAAACAAATGCTGTCAGTATCTACATCAATAATACAAGAAACTGTACATAACAGTACATGTAAGATCAATAAATTTGATTGGTTAAGTATATAGATAAAGATGTAAAGAAAACTGCTGTCTCATAAAACAATAAAATTTCAACTCTATCTTTTATGTGAAGATGGATAATATGTTCTTATGGTAACAACTCAGTTCTACCCTCTCTGGAATGCTCTGTAAGGGAAGGTACACCTTAACAAAATTTATGTTCCTAAGAATATTAAAAGTCTTACACAAAGTTATATTCTATAATTGCAAATTTAACCAACAAATCAAAAGGACCATCTTCTACACCATACAAGTTCTAAAACATGAAACAAAAAAGTTCTCAGATTTTCATTCAGATATTTTTTTAGGTTTCTGTCTTAAAACGACCTTAATACCACTACCATCCCGTCCATCAGGTTTAAGTATAATTGCATTGTAAGAATATTGTACAAACCTGAATGTTTACGAATTTATTTAGTGTCAGCTTTATCGCGTTTAGTTGATTTAAGTTTGTTAAAGACTCATTTATAAAAAGATTGTATTTTGAATGTTAAGTGATTAATTTCTATGTTTAATTCCTCGATGTCACATAAGCATATTCACAGCTTTCCAAACAGACAGTGCCAACAAAATTATGCTAATAGATGTTTTTTTATTTTCTCCCATAAATTTTAACATAGTGTATAAAATAACTCTTAATGATATAAAACTATTACTACACTCACACTCAGTTATAAAAAATTGTATTAACACTTTCCAGATGGGTCACAAGTGAAAGGCCATGTCATTGCATTTGGTGACTCGCATTCAAAATTTTATTGAACTACTATTTCATGAACTTATGTCAGTAAGTTTGGTATAAACCTATAGATTATAATTCAAATTTTAGTACTATATATTACTCAATTCTTAATTTAAAAGTACATATTAAAAAAAACACAAATAAACATTGATTTGTGTGTGTCACATGGTTTGTTGAACACAGCACTGGTTCAAATTAGATGTTTGTGAAATCGAATTAGAAACTCAAATTACTGATATTGACAAACTATAACATAAAATAAGAGCCACTTATCTTTTCAATTTGCTAAGATATTGCTCATGTAATAAATCAAACACAGTGGCATCCTGCCCACCTCTTTCCATTTTTGGAAACACTCCCTTATATACACTTACTTCTGTATACAACATGAATAACCAATCGAAAGCTCAGAATGTACCCCTAGTGGCTTTCTCAGCCATTTTAACGGACTTGGCACCATCTCTTTCTTTTCAACCAAGATTTCAACGAGGTAGGGTGTGTCTTTAGTCTGCTCGAAAATTCATATTTGTATAGACTAAAAGTTACTACTATATAGTTACTAAGCTTGATAAATTATAGCTGAATTCTATGGTATTAATGTAGTAATTTATGATTTTTTAGTTATTCAAATGTATATATAAAAACCTAAAAAAATTTTTTTCATCATATCCTTCACATTTTTTTTAAAAAGCTTAGCAACCTACGTCAACCAGCAACCAAGTACAAAGGTTGTAACTTGAAGAGATAATTGTTTGTTTTACTTCTTTATTTACTGTTCTATGTTTTAAAAATTAAGAACTTATTTCAAAAATAGCAATAACCTGTATACATATATAATGTATAATAATTGAAGTGTGACTGTATTTTATTAGTCTACTAAAACACAGCCAAGACAAGTTACTTTCTACAGACCAAAGGTCAGTTTTATGTTATTGGATCCTGTAACATGAGTGCACGTGTGCTGCATCATTGTAACTTCTGTATTGTTAGCCAGGCACGGCTGAAAGGTCAATATAATAAAACTAATAAATATACATAAATGTACAATGTTATGAGATTTAAGCTATTTAATCTAAACATTTATGTTTTTGTGTTATAATTTGTTGTCATTCCAGAATGAAAGAGGCATAATTTATATTTATTTCCTAATTTTTTCATGGTGGTTACGAGATCAGTCAAATCTACCGAACCTGTACAGAGATTAATTACTGAAAATAACAGATAAAATATAAAGTTTTTTCTTAAGAAATGTTTGATAACCATCCAGAATTTATAAAAGATTTCACATGTGCAATTTGAAAATTTTCTGATGCACAAAAGTATTTTAAATCTTAAAATGAAAATTACTTTACATGTTAGATAGGCAACATGCAAAAAGACATGAGAAAAGCATTGCTTTACAAACCTTAAGACTTAATAATAATAAAAAATTGATACTTTGCATATAAAAGCATTGTAATGTTTACTGATAATGTGCCAAATCTCATTGACATTCGCTTACTAATTTAAAAGTTATAGCATGAAAACTATAACAAACACAAAAGGGTTACGAAGTCAGTTCCAGGGACTGAAAGAGGATATTAACCTTTTCACACCACAGAGCACCTTTCAGGTGTCAAGTGCATATCAAATATGTTAAGTAAAAATAATTATTCTAGCTTTCTAAAAAATTTTCAGCTCAAAAATATTGCACAATTAATACTTTGTAACATTTATTTAGAGCAATTCATAAAAAAAATTAAATATTTTTATAACACTCTAACGAGTTTTTCCTATAAGCAGTGCCCTTATTCATTATTTGTCCAACCCACAGTATAGGTTTTTATTTGCTAATAAGGTATTATCCTTTGAGAATACAGTTAAGTGTTGCTTCTCCCATGACTTTCATGTTGTGTTTGAGGTTTTGATATTACAGTCCCACATTCCTACTCTTTTTAAGATGTCACAGCATGTGGTCTAAACAGCTACAGTTAAAGTTTAAACACCATTAGATAGAACAGATTATAAACTATTTATTTGAATATAGAATGAATAAAATGGTGCACAAAGTATTTTATGGTTTTGTGAGAAAGTTATTAGATGGAGCTCCTGCAGAGAAGAACAACAGAATCTATGGGGAAGTTTAAAAGACTTAGTAACAAAATAAAAAATACAGATCTGGGAATTCTTCAATAGTTTCATGTTAAATTATATTTGTTTGAAAGCTATGTAAATTTTCTTCTACGATTGCAAAATATTCAAATGACTCAAGTTCTTAGTTATTGAATATTATTGTATTATTGTTAAGCTTATCATATTAAAACATTGTACATACATTAAAGAACTAATAATTTACTGAAAAGAAACTATACTGATTAGATATGAGTTTATCTTGACCAATAATATTGTTAGCAAAAACACTGTTACCTAGTTTGACCTGACATTTTGAAAGGTCAGGTCCTAGGTCACCTATAAATCTTTGTCAGTTTCAGAGGTGTTTTTTTACAATTTATATCTAGGAGTGGTGACTACTGCACTTGGCAAATAACATATGAAAAGAAATAGGGTAATGAATATGAAAAATGTTGAAACTGATTATATATATATGTAATGTAGCTTTCCGGTCCATATATAAAAAAAAAAAATTATAAAATGGAAGGAAGAACTCAAGTTTATTTCAAGTGTCTCACAGCAAACTTCTGGAAATTCATATCATAAAAATTACAGAAAATCTAAAACAAATCATACAAATTTTCTTAAAACTACAACTAGATAATATGTAGTAAGTCTAAGTTCCTTGTAACTTGGTTAAGTATTTCCACTGTGAGAAGAAAAAAAAACAAGGGACATCAGTGACAGTGATATCCATCTGGTCCAGAAAGAGTTAAATCAGTTTCTAAATCACCACTTTGTGTAGAATACTACTCAGTAAGTTACACATCATCTTGTATTGTGGAACATGTGTTAGAAGGAAAATTTGACAGAGTTAGTTTATTTGAAGGAACCAAGTAAACCGTAAAGGTAAAAAAATATTGTGAAAAGATAGCACAGCTATGAAAACTTAGAATAAAACTACCCGCACTGTTATGTGAAAAGATAGAAAAAAACTGGTTTAGGTATTTGCCGATGAAGGTCGATGACTTAGCTTAAACATCATAAAACCAAAACCACATGTAGAACAGAATCCTTTTACACATGATAAAGCAAATAAAGTTGCTCTCATCTCCAGGTGTTTAGAACTCAGCTGTAAAAAACAGCAGTTAACATTATTATGTTTAAAGTGTCAAGAATCACATACTTTAGGTGAGACTGGATTTCTATTTCTCGTCGTAACTGATGCTCTACTCCATTCTTTTGTAACTGAGACTTGAACAAAACCTATGGGATAAAGAATATTTAAAAATATTTCTAACAAAATCCAGAAACTTCACACTGCTAAAAATAAATCTCTTAAAAGTACATTATAGATATTTTTGTGACATTTTGAATTGCACTGTTCTTTTATAAACTTTTAGATTTTGCAAGTATGATGAAAAACATTTTTATTTGAATGTAAATTCCCTTCAGCTCTAGGAGTTAAAAGATCATTCAAAAACTCAGTTCTTTCATACTAATAGCTATTCTTAAGTAATAAAAGTAAGCAATAATGCAAAATGGGTTCACAGTCTGAGCAGAGGAAGTTAAGACTATTTTTTGTTAGTTGATAGCCAGATTCAAACTGACAATCACAAGATTATAAATCTTGAATTGCATTTCATCTTTAACTATTTTCACTATAAATGCAATAGTTCTCTGCTTCAAATACAATATGTTATGACAGCAGAAGTCACGTGATGGTACTGGCGCATTGGCGTGTGCGAGGAGTTTCTCGAATGATCGTGAATTTCCTAGTGCATTCGGGACGCCCCTTTTTTTAGTATATAAGCCTGGCAGATAAAGCCTGCAGGAGAATAGATTGAAGAGATGCAGATAGATTAAAGATAGAGATAATTGAGTCAAGTGAACAGTAGGCACCGTAAGTAAAGTGCGTGAATCACTGTGATTTATAGTGTGTTTTAAAGGTTGTTAAGTTTAAAGTGACGGTGGAAATTCTGTGTATTACAAAGTTGTATCAAGAAAGAATAAACTAGTTTTAATTAAGAAAGGACTTGTATCGCTGAAGTTCCTCGGAAAGAATTTATACCTGAAATTAACAGACAAGCAGATACGTAACAAAAACTATATTTCATGCACTTTCTTGTGTAATTTCATTTTAGTGAATACCTTAATGGCAGATTCCACATTCCTTTACTAGCAAGGACACACAAAAATGTTATAATATAAATGAGCTGATACTTTTAGTAACTACATTTTTAATTCTATAAAAAACCAACTGATTTTAATTATTCTATGCAGATATAAAAATACGTCCAATCTGGATTTGAAAACATACCTAAGTGACATCAACTATTAATTGGCTATCCAACAAAATATATACAGAGCCAAACAATAGTTGGAGCATAGCTCACCAGAAATCAAATTAGTCTAAAAAGTATTTAAATCTGACAACTTTGTAACTGAGAACAAATAGCATTTAAACAGGGCAAGTCCCACAGTGAAGTACCAGGGGCCGTGCATGGACAGCACCAACCTGGTACCCAACAGATATATTCTTCCAACCTTACTAATCCTTTAACACACAGCACAAGAACTTGTCAATTATTTTGCAAAAAACCTTGTCCAACTTTGTTTCTGCTTGAACAAGAGCTTTAATTTAGCCACATATATATACAACTCATGTGCAATTTGCAATGCTGAGAATACCTGTCCATAAGTAATCCTTAACCCCTTTCAAAAGCTGAAAACCTGTTTGGTATGAGGAAAAAAACTCTGCCTATGATATTACCTGCAATCTCTTCAAGAGCTATAAGAAAGAACAAAATGTTGATATGCATCTGGAAACAACCATTCAAATAACAATGACTCACTGTGCCCGATTGACAAAACCTCTCTTAGAAAACTATTCAAATAACTAACTCATTGTGCCCGATTGACAAAACCTCTCTTAGAAAACCATTCAAATAACAATGACTCATTGTGCCCGATTGACAAAACCTCTTAGAAATAAAAAGCTTAAGATATCAAATAATAGTTTATAAACTGATAGAAAATTTCAACTGCTACTTTAAAGTAAAATGATGATAGAAAGTGACAAAAGTTAACATTTTCCTAAACTGAAAATGTAATTGCAATATTATTTATACTGAAACTATAGCTATTTATCAATCTCCAGTATACAAGTACCTCATTCAGATAATGTAATCACTTTTTCGAGACAAACCGGCTTTTAGTGGGGAGGTAGGGTGGGAGAATGTCAGTGGAGGTAAGTATTATTGAAAATACATTTTAAGTTTAGGAAAATGTTAACTTCCAAAACATACCTCCACTGACATTATAGCTAGAATCCCACATTGAGAAGGTGAAGGGGCTGGTGTAGGCATGAACCATATAGAAAGCATCTGTACAGAACAGAAGTGTACCAAGATAAAGATGGTACAAGAGTGACGGAACCACTCCACATCCAGAATAGGTACGTTATTCACAAGGAACTTAGTTCCGACATCAAAGGTGGAATAGAATACAAGTAATCATCAGTATAAACCAGCCCCAACAAGATAACCAAGGTTCCACAACTCGGAGTTGGAATTAAGAGCTCATGGAATATACATCCCACGTTGGTGGCTGGGACTATTGGACTGCAATGTTATATCTAATTTTGATTGGATCTCAACCTGTAGTCATAGAGTGATACGTTTCACACCACCAGAATTACAATACGTAAGCAACACCGAAGTGGACAAACTTTCTCCTCCACCTGAAGAAATTCAAAACGCAACACCCCAGGCTCAGATGACGGGATTGTGCATGCCACACTCAACCAAAGGAACAGAACTAATCTGGTCTGGAATTATGAACATTCATTCTCACTCCCCAACCAAGTGGGCAAGGAGTATTCTGCTTGCCCCTGGAATTATGGAAAGGACGTGAAACCTGTGCTCAACCAAGGACCTAGGATGGGCAGTGGCGTAGCAAGGGTTCTTCTGTCCTATTGAAAGCTACAATAATAATAAACAAGAGGATTCCACTTTGTTAGAAACAAATCCACAGAATAATGTCGCTAACCTAAAAGAGGATGACGTAATAAATATTTTAACACAGAGAGATGTTGGATTTATGAAGTGTGATAAAACAGGTTCAGAAGTTGTAACACATGCACATCGCACAGAGATTGTTAAAGTTGGAGCACATGGATTTCAACATAAAGAAGATCCATTTGATGCCAAAGATGGACGTTCTCTTGCTACATTTTTTTCCAAACGACGCCTTCTGAATAGACAAGAGATCAATCGTTCCTGGTTGGTGTATTCACCTCTACGTAAAGCAGCATACTGCTTTTGTTGTCTTCTTTTCTCATCTACATGTATGACATCCGATAGTCGGTTTGCTGTCAAATCATAGAGTGGATTATCTAAGTGAATAAAAAAGAAATGTTAAATGCCCATGAAAATAGTGACAGTCATCGTGAGTCATTTAGTGCTTGGAAAGAAACTGAGCGCCGAATTCGTCTTCAAAGTGGCATTGATGAAGAGCTGCAAAGGCAAATTCAGAAAGAAAAAATAAATGGAGAGACGTCTTGCGACGGTTGCTGAATTGTACACAATATTAATCTTCTCAGAATCTTGCATTTCGTGGTCATACTGAGGACATAATCTGAAACGAAAATCCTGGAAATTTCCTGTCACTTTTGCAGTTATTAGCAAAGTATGATCCAGTAATGAGTGACCATTTAGAGCTTGTTAAAAACAAGCAAATGTCAACATATTATCTTTCTCTTGAAATCCAAAATGAGTTTATAAATCTCATGACCTCACATGTGCGAAATTATTGTTTGTCAGAAATTCGTAGAAACAAATACTATGGTATTCTGTTTGATTCCACACCTGATTTAGCACATCGTGAGCAATTGGCCCAGGTTATTCGGTTTATTCACATTGACTTTAAGACAAGAAAAGTAGAAGTCAAAGAGTCATTTATTGACTTTATACAGATTAAGGAAGAAGACCCTGTCAATATTGAGAAAACAATAAGCACAAAATTAGATGCGAATTACTCTGGCTATGTGACTTTGAACAATACTGGATGACATAAATATCACAATGGTTTACAAATTATGAAAGTACACCTAGTAGACTATACTTCATTAGTTCCAGGTTTACAGTTATGATATCGTGAGATGTTTTATTGTGACTTTATTTTAGTCCTGTGTGAGGCGGTAATTAATTCTTTATGTTGTTGTCATTAAGTGGGTAATGAGTCACAAAACATATAATCAAAACATTTTAGAGGTTGGGGTGCCAAAAGTGATTTTGTCCCCGGGTGCTAAGAACAGTTTCTTCATTGTTTTCTTTTCAAATGAAATAGCATGTTCACAATCTTGCACTTTGACCTCTTTGCTGCCATCAAAAGGAACAGATGCTGGCTTTCTGGTGTTATCACTTTCAGCAAGGATAGCTCTCATCAATTCGCTTGACTCCACCATCGAAGCTGTAAATTGTGCACGTCTTTTGCGTCCCTGTACCCCACTTTCATTTTTCGACAAAATGGGCTAAAAGAATAAATTAATGAATACTGACTACACTATTTAGTTGCAACATGCAAATTGTCAGATGAAAGGAAGCATTCGACTTTCCTAATTTCCTAACCACAAATTATATTTAAATTATACAACTAGTCCTGAGTTAATAATGGCTGGAGACGGCTTAAATGGGTAATGAAGAAAAACTTTAATATAAGTTTAACATGACAGCAA